TGATGATAAATTTTCAGACTTGTTGAGGAGACCCGTCACCTGTCGAAAGTGTTTTACCTTTTGTCCTGCCTTTGGACAAATTACGTTGAGGGACTGAGTGGTGCCATCACTGAACACTGGATCATCACTGAGCGATGCCTTTACTGAGCACCGGCACATCACTACCTGGGTGCGAAAATAGGCCTGTCTTGAGCGGTAATTACCTGTGTGGTACCTGAGCCCTGTGTAATATAACCTGTTTGTCTGACTGGGTGGATCAGGGCACTCCTGATTGAGAGCGTCAGGGATGGGCTTGACCGGATGGATCGGGATACACTCGGCTGGAGAGATCGGGACGAACCGTGAAGGGTCCAGGACGGATCTGGGGAGAGATTCAGGACGAACCTGTGGACAGATGGGGATGAAACTGCCTGGGGAAAATTGGGGTCATTCCATTCTGTCAGGAGTTCAGACTGGCCCTGCCAATCAGGCTAGTTCTGTCGCCAGCTGTGACTGCTGCTGAGCTGGCCCAGTGATAGGTCAGTGCCTGGCTGTCGCAGGCCATGAAGTCGAAAATGGACCGCACCGTCCGTGGCCAAAGACCACTTTCCGATGTGCGACACGGTCAGGAAACCATTAACAGAATTCTTGAGGGGTGGTAACCGGCAGACCTTCACATTTACGGACCGAAAGAGAAATGAACCGCTAGAAATTGGCGTTGAAAAATGCGGGAACAGTTTCTCATCGTTCTTTCATGGCAGACAAGTGTAACTTGGAACAATATGAGGTATTTAGTTCAGGAAATAAAGCGGGGTTTGACCCTTACCGAGACGCAATTACAAAAATTTCGGGTCAATTTCGAGACACTGTAAGCAATTTTTGTTTGTTTTTGGGATCACGCTGCATGACTCTATCGATTTAATCACAACGTTCACGGCCCTATTGACCATTTCCGGGAATGTAATGTTAATTGTAACAATTAATGCCATTCATCTGGTAGGCTTGCCGGCAAACCTTCATAATCAAGTGATGGCTTCCCTCCCCGCACACAACGGGTGATGACTTCCCTCCCAGCAGGACACAGCGGATGATGACTTCCCTGCCAGCAGGACACACGGATGATAACGTCCCTCCCCGCAGGGCTAAGCGGGTGATGACTTCCCTCCCCGCAGAACACAGCGGGTGATGACGTCCCTCCCCGCAAGACACAGCGGGTGATGACTCCCCCCCGCAGAACGCAGCGGGTGATGACGTCCCTCCCCGCAGGACGCAGCGGGTGATAACGTCCCTCCCCGCAGGACACAGCGGGTGATGACGTCCCTCCCGCAGGACGCAGCGGGTGATAACGTCCCTCCCCGCAGAACGCAGCGGGTGATGACGTCCCTCCCCGCAGAACGCAGCGGGTGATGACGTCCCTCCCCGCAGGACGCAGCGGGTGATAACGTCCCTCCCCGCAGGACACAGCGGTTTCGATGTCGAGTACGAGCCGAGGTTCGTCGGCGAGATTCAGAATGTGACCGTGGCCCAGGGCAGGGAGGCCATCTTGA